GCTGGAGACTCCCGTGCTGGTCCTGGGCTGCATGTGGCATTTCAAAGTGGCAGCGCTGTGTGGAACCCGAGGTCTGGCCCCAGGCTTCACATGGTGCTGCTGCTTTGAAGCATGCTCTGCTCTCTCCTCCCTGCCCCTCTCCCCCGTCTGCTGCCTCTTTCTGATAGAGCAACTAGTCGTTCACATCCCTAGCCAAAACTATTAAAATAACTTGAATTGAAATAGAATAGAATAAAAAACCTTACTAATAGATACTAGCTGCTGTTTACAGATAAAATAGAAAGCTAAACTCACTGGCTACATAGAGGAAAAAATGTGAGGTAAACAGCACAGGGAGCTTCAAATTGGGCCTCTGGAGGTGAGAAGAAAATGATCAGGGTCAGGACAGACCACCTCTGCACTGGTCACAATGGTCCATACCGACTACGGACATGAAAGGTTAACTGGTAAGCATCACCATTAATAGATTATGCTTACTGGTTCTGGTTAACCATTAATTGGTGGGGCCCAGAGCAATTTCCCTGTCTGCTATGAGCCCTGGACGGGCTGTTCCAGTCATCCAGAGAAGCCTCTGTCTCTGGTGGCCCCACAGGCAGGGCTTTCTCTAGCATCTGGATCAGCCTCTGTCTGTGGTGGGTCTTCTCTGGCTGGGCTGGCGATTTCTTTGCCTGTGGCAGAGGGGCTGCTCCAGCCTGGCCTTGGCAGGCATGGGGGGTGGGCCCTAGAGCCTGTAACCTCCTCTAATCAGTTTGCCAATTAAATGAGTTTTTACATCCCTAATATCAAAAGATATTGCTACAGAAAACTCTCCAGTTTCAGCACTCTGGGCACACACACAAACACCTGATACATGTGGGATACATGTGTGCAACCAATCAAAGAAGAGAGTTAAATTCTGACACTATCAGAAAAAAAGGACATGAAGAAAAAAAGAACAAAATTGTTGACATTTTCCATTCTTTTTGTTGGTTTTGATTATATGATATTTTTGAATGTCGTAAATGTAGGGGAGGCCTAGGTTGTATATTAGTATAATCAAACACTGGATGTTGTGGGAAACCCAAAGGAGGGAGTGATTTAGAAGTTTTTTAAAAATATTAACTCATGGAAGTATGGGATGATCTAGATAGTGCTTGGTCCTGCTTTGGGCAGGGGGTTGGACTCAATGACCTCCTGAGGTCTCGTCCAGCCCTAGGATTCTATGATTCTGTTCTATAATGTTTTCAAAGAGGCTGTTGAAGATGTTTCTTTTAGCAGAGTCCAATTATGCATTAGCTTCAGCCTAGCAGTATCTATCAAAGTGTCACAAATGCTTTCATATATGCAGTACATTGCTTCGTCAGACACCAGAAAAGGAAAGATTTAGGCACCACAGAGTTTTCTGCCTAAGTAGGTGTTGAGCAAATTACCCCATTACATTTCAGCATGCATTAGTCCATTAAAGAGCTGCAGATTCCTTTGTGTAACCAAATGGTTTCAATGTGTACTTATACTAGTCATTTCCTGTAATTCCATAAAGTTCTTATTAGCCTTTATTTAAAAGATCTGAATTTTTGCATGACTGTAAATGTAAAAACATTTGAGAAAAAGAAGCATTCTCATATAGTTCGCAAAGTAACTAAGTAATTATTAATATTAAATCCAATTACACAGTGATTTGAAGGACTTTGTTTTCCCTTAATTTATTAACATTCTAGATAGCTTTCTTATAATGGGTTTAGTTCCTTATTTACCAGGAAACAAATCTGTATTTTAATGTTAGAACAATTCTGCTGTGAGAAAAGAACAAGATGAATATAACATTTAAGGCAGACCTCAGTTAGCTATTAACATTATCCAAAAGAGCCATAGTGTTGTGAATTCATTGTTTCATTTACTATACTACTATTCTTATTTACAATAGTAAATGCTGGGGAAATATTTAGTTTATATAAAATATAGTCTCATATAAATAAGTTACTAACTTAGGGTGAGTCAGTCCAAGAAGTCTCTCTCCACATTCATGTGTTGGAATCATGTGGGTGATTCAGTGAGCATGTGAGATGTTTATGTCCACTCTCGCGCTGTCTGGTATGGCTTGCAATTGTGAGTGCCCATAGAATATCAGAAAATGGGTAGATACCTCAAACTCATAGTATATTTTTAATTAGATTTCACCAAGCCAGTAACAAGTGTCCACTCTTAGCTCACTATACCAGTTTTAACTTAGGAGTCACAGAAGTTAGGGTTGCCAGGTGTCCAGTTTTGAACTGGACAGTCTGATATTTGAGCTTTCTGTCCGGGAAACAAACTGAGAAAATATTGAACATATATATGACCGGTATTTTCTAATTAAGTAAGGTTTATTATTACCATGAGTATCAGTATGTAGTTGCATACTGCCTGGCTGGTAGACGCGCTCACACTGTGTAAGCGTGTCTACCAGCCAGGCAATACACAACTACGCAGTAGAGGAAGGGGCGGGGCTTGTGCGGGACGGGCAGCACCTCGGGATCTGTATGTGCCCGGGCCAGCCCCACTCCCTGCCAGCAGGTCCCCTCCCTCTGCTTCCTCCTGGCCAGCCCCCTTCCCCCTGACCCTCTCCCAGCCAGTCCCACTCCCCGCCAGCCGGTTCCTCCCCTTCCCTCCGATCTCCACTGTGCCCTTCCCAGCCAGCCCCGCTCCCCACTGATCAGTTCCCCCCTGGCCAGCCCCGCTCCTCCCAACCCCCTCCCAACCAGCCCTGCTCCCCTCCCAGCCGGTTCCCCCCACCCCAGATCCGAGATCAAGTGTGTCTGGTATTTTTTTCAAGCCATTTGGTAACCCTAACAGAAGTCCCTTTAGACTCTCCAGCCTATCTTGCTGCCCAAACAAACTAGACTTTATGATATTAGTCACAATGCCAAATAACACATCACAATAGTTACTCCCAACCCCAAAGACTACTTATCAAGGTCAAATTATGGTATTCTGAATCTCACACAAAAACATCGCTCACAGCCAATTTCTTTAGTAAACTAAATGTTTATTAGCTAAGAAAAAGAAATGAGGGTTATTCAGAAGTTAAAACAGATAAAATATATTAACAGGTGAGTCAAAATTTGTAAGTCCATTATGATAGCAGAGATGTAGTGATATGCTAGTTTTCTGTAGGTTTCTCAGACTCTTCCAAAATAACTTTGGGGATCTCTGTCCAGTCACTCACAATTCTACTTTGTCAGAATTGTGACCGCGGCGGGGTGCGATCACCCTCGCCTGCCCCGGGAGAGGGGTTCGGCGGACCCCGTCGCCGGCCTCCGACCCGTTGGTCCCGGAGTCTAGTCTGGTTTAGCGCCTTTGGGCACGATCACCCCGCTCGGCCGAATCCGGGGGATCTGCGAGCCCAGGGGTCGCCTGTCCCTTTGAGCGGGGCTTTTCCCCGCGGTCTCCGCTGGAGGCTCCGGCTCGTTGGTGCTGGAGCGACCCGCAACTCCAGATGACGGCAGGAGGGGAGGGGAAACCGGGCCCACCCTCTCCACCGGGTCCCAGCCCAGGGTCCTAAGCAGAGGGATCTGCTAGCTCCCTGTGCGGCGGACGTGGGATTCCTTCCCAAAACGCGCCCACACACGGGCGCCAAAAGGGCCCCGCCCCGGGCTGCTTCCTCCCCTCCGCAAACCCCGTCATCCTCTCCGTGGGGTCTCCGTAGCCTACCGTGGCTC